TATATACATAAATGTAAGATGGTTACTATTATATATTTTGATTGTATCTGGCCTTAGGGCTATAATAAACGTGTGTGTGTGTGGATAGTTATGGATTCTAGAAATGTTAACATAAGAGGGGAATTTTTTTTTTCTTTTTTCAGACAAAACTGAAATTTTAGAAATGTTCAAATATTTTTAATGCTCTTCCCAGCTACTTTATTTAATTTGTTACTATAGGAAAATAAATGTATTATGCAAAGTGATACATCATACTCACTTAAAGTAATAGTTTTCTTCTAACAATTGTTTACAGATATTCTTTTACACTTCCTCTGTGAACACTTAGAATGTTTGCAAACATCACAACACCTCAGCAATTTCTACATAGTTAGTAAATGCAAGGAGTTTTACTCACAAGCAAATAAATGACGGTAAGTTTTTCCAACGTATTGATTTTTTTGGTCCATTTTTTTAATTAAGCCCATCACTGCTTTGGATGATATTATCAGTAGACACTGAGAGGCCAAGAGAATCTACCTGAACCTTTTAGTCTCTCTTTCCCCTAAGTACAATGTGAATTTATGTTCACGCTGTTCACAAGGAAACATTTTTCTCCAGCCTACAATGATTCTACCTCAACTGCCGAAGGAACTCTCGGTGCTACACAAGAAAATAAGGATTATAAATAAAAATATAATAATGTAAGAAACAGATACCTAAGACTGCATCAGGTAACAACAATGCCATAAAAAGGAAAAACAATTACTCTGCCCCAGGGTCTGCTGGAAAAGCTAGATGTTTATAGCTCTTCTATAGCTCCAGCATGATTGGGGCCAGGAGGAAGTTATTCCACAGGGCAGGGGCAATCACAAAGGAAGAACTTCTTGGGGATTCCACAAGATGATACTATTTCATAGATGGGATCCAGAACATGCTGACCCTGCTAGATCTTACCAGATGAACAAAGCCAGAGGGGTCCAATAGACACCCAAGCCCCAAGTCTTGAAAGGCTCTGTAAGTGGCTACCAGCATCTTGAACTGCACCTGGAAGCCAACTGGAAACCAGTGCAGCTTGTGAAGTAGACATGTCACATTAGCAAACCAAGGTATGCCTACAACTACTCATACTGCTGCATTCTGGATCACTGATAGTTTCTAATTGGCCTTCAACAGCAGCTTCAGTGGAGGGCACTGCAGTAATCCAAACAAAAGGGGACTAAGGCATGATTAATCATGAGAAGAGCCTCCCAAGCCAGGAAAGGGCATAACTGGAATACAAGATGTATCTATGGAGAGGTTCTCCTTGTCACAGCTGTCACTTGTTCTTTGAATCAGAGCCAAGAAGCCAGGAGGACCCACAAATTATGCACAACTTTGGTCAGAAGTAGTGCAACCTCATCCATAATTAATGTTGGTAAATCACTGGCCCTGGGAGATCCTTGTTTTAACAGCCACCCAATCCTGCTACGGCTGAGCCTGAACATGTTTCACCCCATCCATGACTCAACATGTTCCAGGCACCAGGGCCATCTGACAGCACTATCTGTTCAGCTATGGGTCAAGATATATAGCTGGGTATCATCTAGGTATGGATGATACCTGACCTTGCCCAGAAGGCTCGTACAGCAGTTGGCAGAGTACTGAGCCCAGAGCAATATTGCAAAGCAAGGGCTTCAGGCTCTATTGATCCCCCCACCTTCCAAACACCAACTGGAACCAATCCCAGAGAAAAGAGGAGAACCACTGAAACACCGCACATCCCAACTCTTGGAGGGATACCATGACTGACGGTACTGAAGCTGCAATAAAACTTTAGGAAAAAAAGCTAACCTGCCATTTTGCACATACATAAAGTAACCAGACAAAAAGAAAAAAACAAGCCCCAAACCACAGATGAAAAACGTTACCATGGATACCAAGGTCTGGCTTTTTAAAATTAACCTATGATATATTAAACAAGGGATGATGGAACAGCAGGTAAGAAGGGCCACCTGTACTTTGCTTTCATTAAGCATCTAATTAATGCCTATTTAAACTTCTTCACACAACATAAATTTTAATTCTATTTTAATTTCAAAATGAATTATCACATAATGTATTGATTTTTTTTTCATTCTCTAAAAGTGTTCCAATTTAAAAATTAAAAGATACATTTTCCATACAGCATGCTGAGAAGCTTGTGTTATTAATGGAAAGATTAATGAATATGTTATATACACCATCTGTTGAAATAATCTTGTTTATATAACATGTCATTGTCTACTCATACTTGTAAATATGTCATAACAAAAACCCAACTTTAGAAAAATAAACTACACTTAGTAAATGTTAAGTTAAATAAATAAAGCAACAGCTCTATGTCAGACTTTACAGAGAAAAAGAAACTGCTTGAACATTAACTTAGTGATATATAGGCCAAAGTGAAAATAATAATCAATCTTGCATTATACAAGATGTCACACTCCTGCCTTGGTATTCATTTTTGCTGCTTTCATTTCCCTTAGCACTATAAGGCAAATGGTACCTTGGTACCTGAGTAACGTTACACATCTATCCTCACCAGGATGCTAGTATCTAAGAGTAAAGTAATCATCAACACCATCCTAAAGATCATTAACTAACCAGATTTGGATTCTGCCCTACAAATCATTTACCAAAACATTTAAACAGTAAATTCCATCATCTTCTTACTGATTAACATTTCTGGAAAACCATTAAAGTTAAGTAGTTTTTTTTTAAAGAAGAGAACCATTGTAGATGGAGAAAATCTGCATTCGAAAAAGACCAGAACACACACAGAAAGAAATGAACAATTGTATCCCAAATACTGTGTTTTCTCACGTATAAGCTGAGAATTCTAGGTTCCCAAATACACTCCAAAAATTGGGTTCAACTTATCTGCAGATGGGCTTATCAGTGAGTATAAAAGGTAATACTTTTTTAAAGTACCTGTATGTACTCATGGATAAGCTTATCTGCCAATCCTCAAATTTTTAACCAAAATACCATGAAAAATGCGCCACCCAGGGATAAGCCAATTGTGAAAATTAAAACATACAAAAATTTCGAGGGTCAGTTCATCTGCAGGTGGCACATTTTTCATGGTATTTTTGGTTAAAAACCCAAGGGTCGGCTTATCTGTGAATATATACACTAGATATAAAATATTATACTACTTATGATACCGAATACAAAAGCAGGACCAATCTTTACCACATTATTCAATCAATAAAGAACAATGTGACCAAATATTCAAGTACAGAAATACAGGAAACAAGGCACTATTCTTACTTCTTTAAATTGAAGAAGAGAAGCAACACATACCTGATTTTGGAATTACATGTCATTTCATTCTCTGGATAATGAATATCAACTGCATCCTGAATGACTGTGCCATATTCATAGACTTTAATCTTCTTTGTCACTCCCGCAATAGCAAAATAGTCACAGTCTCGATCAAACTCAATACTAAGAAACAAAAATACAAACATGTAAGACACAAACTCATGAATATAACACCTACCTGGCTTTATTATGATGATGCATATTATTTTTTCAGGAGAGCACCACCGCTGACTTTCAAATTCCAAGAGACCAAAATTTCTATCTCCCAAGTTTGCAAAATACTTCTCATTAAATTTTCTTTCCTGTACAACCATTTCTACTGGATGTCGTTAAATTAAAATAGAAAGGGAAAGTTAATCCAGAGAGTAACAAAACAAGAGAAAAGGCAAATTAAAAGGAAAAAGAAAAGTGGGGGGAAAGCAAAAAAAAAAGTGTGGGAAAGTAAATATTATTCCTGATTTTTTTTAATGCAAAAGATGGACTTGTTATATTGTTCAGCACTATATAAAACAATATGCCTGAGCCAGGTTGACTATTTCAATAAATAGACTTTCATGACTCACCAAACAAACGACTTCCACTAAAACAGGGGCCACCCTTTTCCCAATAACATTTGCTAGTCTTGCTCAGATGCTCCAACTGTTACTGTACTTCTTCTGAAGCTGCCACATTCCCAAATATCCAAATGACAAGGAGGACAGCTTACACCATGAAAGCTGAGAATAGTACTCGGTTTTCGGTATTTGACTTAGTATGTACCAGGGCAACTATGACTTACTCACTTTATTTATTTTACAATTAAGGTCTTATATCTACCACTTCATTCCCCTTTTTAAAAGGATGACACTTTTAACCAGTAGGGACTAAAGATAAATTTAAGGAGAGTGGCTTTTATTCTTGAAGGATTAGGCTTGTCCTTTTATAAGAATTTTCCTTTTATTAAAAAGGAATGTTTATATAAATTTTCCTTTTATATAAAAACAGTACATGGAAAAGTATAAAAGCTTTTTAAAAATCAGGACTTTTTTCAAGCAACTTTACTATATCCCATGCTAAAATACAGCAACATTCGATAATACAGTAAGCATTAATATATTTATTTTATTACAAATATTATTCCAATTAAACAATGAAAAGGTTACCCCATGTCTATTTTTCCTCATCTCTCTAATACTTACAACATTTTCATAATATTTTAATAAAACATTCAATACACCCCTTCCTATGCCAAGATTAGCAAATGACATGAAGCAAACAGACTAATACGATATCACAACACAAGCAAGTTTTTCTACATGTGAAAGATTGGGGTGGGCTTCCAATGGAGAAAGGTTATTTTCTTGGTGGCAGTTATAAGTTGTGAGCCAGTGGTTAATACACCAAACATGATTGTGCTTTATTTTAAGCTGAAAAAAAGTCTTAAAAAATAATATCTCCAAAAGAAAGAAAATGTAGATAACAGATCTCTTTGTTCAACTCACAATTCCGTTATTTTGTGAAACCTCAGAGAAAACCGTTTTTCAAAAGTTATAAACAGAAAAATAATAACTGCAGATAGATAGTGTCCTGGGTATATGTATGTAAATGTGTGTATCTGTGATAATAATGGTGATGATGTTTCTCTAATCCCCTTACACAATTTGCTTAGAATGAAAGTAAGAGCACCTCTGGAACCAAAGAGGATTCTTTGGTTCCTCTCCTGATCCAAAATAATTATATTACTATTTTGTTGTTGTTGTTGATTAATACTATCTGAATTTTCATATGTGAAATTTTTCCCTGTCTGGGTTTCATAATGAGTTATATTTTCACAGAACAGGAATTTATAGACAAAATTTCTTTTTCCTAATGGGGGAGTTCTTATTATACACTTATCTCCTAAATAAGTTTTACAGTCAACCCATCCATTATCTGCTACACACTCCCACCTAACACTATTTTATCAATTAAGCTGATATTAATTTTACAAAGTTTTATGCAGTTGTGTGGATAACCAGCTCTGTATGTGACCTTCAAGAGGGCAAATATGTTCCTAGACCTATAGTGGCAACAGGAAGTCTGTTATCTTCCTAAATAACTATAGGAAAATACACTTATCTGGAAATTGTGAGGTTTGGTATATGCCCTCTTAGGTGAGTGTTAGTAAATCCTTAAAATCCACCCAAAAACGATTCTAGGACTCTATATGTACCAAATATATGCTCCCCCATCCAATCATTAGGAAATTTTTAGGAAATAATTTTTTCCCCCCAATCATTTACCATACTTTTATTTTTGTGTAATGGAGATTGAGGGGTAGTTACAAAAATATGAACCAGCTAACTAGCAGTATCATCAATCAAATCTTTATTATGGTCAAAGGCCAGCATAAAAGTATGCAAAAGGCAGAAAGTTATCCATTTATTTATTCATTCATTCATTCATTCTGAACAGAAAAAAAAATCTTGTGTAAGTACTGAATCATAGCAGTTAGTTGATATAAGTATCATCATTCCTTTGAGTGCTGTTTAACTGAAAGAATGTCTTGAAGATTACATTCCTCCCCCCTTCAGTTAATAGATAAGACAGTACAGTATTAGTTTATCCATTCTCCACTTCCAGCTTGGAGCTGACAAAGGCATCCTTCTTTGGCTTTAGGACTTTACCTCCTTTACAACAAGTGCTGAGAAAATCACCATACCAATCTGCCAGTGCCTGATGTACATTGTGAACATGATTCTTAAGGCATCTAGCTCTCTACACTGCTATGCGGCAAGAGATGTGGTGGGCAGCAGCATGTGATCTGAATAAATGCCCCTACTGTAATACTATCTTACCACTGTCTTTTACTGAAGGCCTTTTTCTCAGAAGAAAAATCAAGTATGGTAGTATGGAACTGAAGGTGTCACTATATAAGGGATAGGACAAAACTAAAATCAGTTGGCTCTGTCTACTGCTGGCCATCCTTTCCTTTTCTCTATCAGTAAGAGCACCAGCCACTACTGGGTAAAGGGTCATTTCATTATTTGGGGAATGATATAATGTATTTATCCTAAAAACGTACTTGCAAAGAATATGCAAAAAATAGTTAAAATTGAAAAAGAGAAATTTCTGAGTGATTTTAATGGAAATAGAACATTAATCATTTAGTTATACTCCATACTGACTCTGGGCAGCTCATGGTACAAGATAAAAAATGTACAGTCCACAAAGAAAACAAGATGGCAAATCTGGCCAACACAAAAATATATACCACACGCTCAAAAAGGGGCTTCAGCCACCCTGGTCCAGGGCCCGTTTTGGAAGAGGGTGAAAAAGCCTCAAGAACGTGTCCCTAGCAGAACAAATTATATTAAGAATACAAGTCACAAAATGGTTTGGGATACAACTGAAGCAAGTAAATGCTGGAAGAAATATTTTATAGATGTCTGTGGGAATGACAGCAGTATGCTGAAGAATGGAATTAAAATAATTGCTACCAATCTTAGTGCCCAAGAAAACAATGATGAAAAGGAAGTCCCAAATGCTATGAGAAGATAGAACAATGGTACAGACTTTGTGATTCATTTAATCTGGATGTGAAGACTGTACAGTACTTGCACCTGATGATTGGAAGAATGCTGGTATGGTTCCTCTATATGGAGTGAAAGAGCACATAAAAGAACTACAGGGGCTTAGTTTGTTAAATTTGCCTGTGAAGGTGCTTGGCAGAATTTTGATTGAAAGGGCACAACTGGTAATAATGAGCAAAATCTGACAAAGTGAGTGCTGTGTTATACCTGTAATGAGGTTTGCAGACCAGACTTTTACTCTTTGCAGGTCACTGAGAAATATATGATAGAAAGAAATTTAATTGCACATTTGTCAATTTTGAGAAGAGAATAGGTCTGAATTATAGAATGGTTTGGCCAAAAATGAAGGAATGTTGGTGGTGACCAACAAGTGAATTCCTGTTCTCCATGTAGGATTTCAGGTCTGTAGAATTTCAGCTATATCACATTAATTAGAAGTAAAGAAAAGGAACAACAATAATGATTTTCTTGAAGATATCCAGGAAGCCCCAAATTGAGAAAAAAACCAAAATCTGGTTAAAAAGTATAACATGACTCAGAACTTCACAGATGCTGAATTAGCTGAACTTAATGTTGGAAAATCCAAGTGGAAGGCTGTTGCTATAACATATTTATTTTTCAAATCTTTACAATGCCAGAAGTTGCTCTGAAAAGAAAAAACGAGAAAGCTCTAAAACTTGGCAAATCTGGAACATCTTTGAGTTTTGAAACTATCTTGTAATATTATGTCAGAGGAATAATAGTCAAAATGCTATTTTGACTTTCCTCTCATCAAATCGTCATTTGATCTATTTTCTCTAAAGTTCTGGAAATCCCTCAGGTTCTGATTTTACGTCCTACTTTTTAACAGATTCAAGAAGAGAAAGCCTATCTTTCAGGGTGTGAACTTGGTGAGAATATTACTAGGCAAGCTAGTAGGAGAGTATTTACACATAGACTCAACTATATGAACAGTCTACTAAAAAGAACTATTCTTTAAAAGAACTTTGCTGGATGAAGGACTCTTGCATGTTAATTGTATACTATTTCTCAACTTTCAAGACTAAAGATCTGAGTTTATTTCTATTATGTGTTTTATCTTTTTGGCATCAGTGCTACTGTTTTTATCTTAGATGAGGGTTGTTACTCATGAAAAAATGGAGATTAGTTGTACCTCATCATCTGAGCTTCAAATAGTTGCTTGGCTCCTAGTATACTGTAGTCCTACACTGCATGGAGTCTTCCATTATATTCTAATGTATATATAGTATCTCTGGGAGACAACGAAAGAAAAACTCAAGCAGTAACAGTGTGAATGCAACTAACACTGCCACAGATAAAGAAAAATATAGGAAAGGATGGAGATCTCACTATGTCAATTTCACATCAAAGGAAGCATTCTTAAACTCTAAATATGTCTGTTGATTGGCAAGGAAGCTGGGCCAACAACCATGCTGTTTTGTGAAGTTAGATGACTTCCAACTAGAGGAGCAGGAAAAAAATAAGAAAGATAGCTAAGTTCATTTGTGCTTCAGAAATCTATAATTTTAATAAATTAAATACACTGGGACAATCCATTTTCTAGTTAAAACT